TTCTCGCATTTTTAAAGTTGTACTTTTCCATGTTTTAAGACAAAAAAGAGCATGGCGGTATAGCTTCAGACATTTCATTAACTCACAAAAAATACTGATCAGTTTATGTCCGACGCGAAACTACCGCTTTTATTGAGGCCGGCCTCAAAACATGAGCTGAAATAGAACATTTGAAAGTCAAAACTATATCTACACAAAAAAGAAAAAGACGTTTTTCTCTCTCTCTCTCTATTCTCCCGCAGAAGAAGATCTGAAGGTTGGGGAATGGGGAGCTAGYAACCACCGAAGACTGACTCAAATAGGGAACCTAGAATTTTTCAAATTTTTTGAACCTCGCAAATGCAATTTCAATCATTTTGAGTGGATTCGAGCAAGAGAGTAGAGCTTACTTTTTCACAAAGACACACAAAATGTTCCTTGAAAGAGGAAACTTAATGTGACCCAAGAAAACTAGCCTGYGTAGCGGTCCTTAAGGGATTGGGGAGGGCCGAGCAGAGAATAGGGAGGAGAAAAAGGAAGGGCCTGCAAGAGAACCCCACAATTTTAGCAAAATGTCCCCTAAGTAATAATTCAAAAGTCTGGAAAATCTAACTTGACAGTTGTCAAAATAAACCTACACGAAGCGCTGTCAGWATGAGGTCGCGAGGTCGTCAAGAGTTTCAGTTTATTGCATTTGCCCGATCGTCTTCGAAGCTTTGGTTTTCAACTTGAGGATATTATTGTTTTCCTTGTGCTAGAAAGGCAAATATATTTTGTAAATTCTACGAAGTTCTCAGTGTCAAAGTGCCACAGTTTCCCTATACTATTAAAGGTTCTTCTAAACGAACATTCTTAACACCAACAGGAAAACGTCCAGGCCAAACTCGAAGATTACCTGCTCTCGAAAATTAAATGTAGAACGTTACACGCACCTTTGTTAACACGAGTTAAAGAAAATTGCTATCTATTTTAACTGATGAAACAAATCATAAACAATGTCATAACATGGGCTTACTTACATTATCATTTTGAAACCAATTTTTTAGTTTTACTTTGCATTTTTTCATGACAATTTTGTTTCTTTTAAATATAGTTATTTCATTCTTTCTAGGCCAAAGCTTGTCGCTGTTCTTMCTTGATTATTATATCGAAACAGTTTTCTTTTAAATCACTTAAAAAAAGCTCTGATTACGAAATCCTTCTTCATCGGCCGCCATGTTGATAAATACGCCAACTTGATCTGGTATCTATCACTTTGCCATTTGATTGAGAGCTTGTTCCTCTCGACCAATGAGGAATTTACGTCCATATTCCACTGTAGATTTTGTAAAACCGTGGGGTTCTGTTACAGGCCCTTCCTGTTTTTCCTCTCCACTCCCCGTTCGACCGGCCCTCCCCAATCCCCTTAGGGCCGCTACGCAGGCTAAAGAAAACGAGCTTCGTAGCCACTGTGGCGAACGATGCAATTGCTTTTTTGCTAATAAGCAATTATGATAGTTTGACTCAAACATCCACTTTYGTGTCGCAATATTTAGTTATTTTTTTCTTAGCAGTTTTTTCTTAGCAATCGTTAAAAAAACTCCAAAAAATTGAACAATGAATGTGATACAGTAACCCCGAAAATAAGAACCTAATGGATTAAGAACCTTTTGGCAGAAATTTGCCATTTTAATAACCCCCTAAATAAGAACCTTTTTAGCCAAATATTATCAAGCATGTTCTTATAATATGGGTGAAAGCTAAATTAAAGTATAAACAAACCACAATCTACTCAATTTGAAAATTGCGTATAAATATTGTACTGAATTTGTTTTTGAGTTAATTATTTTACTTGTTACAGTAGTGGAAAGTTACAGTTATACATAATATTATAGTAATATATATAATTTTGGCCTGTATCAAGGTTATAGCGGAACTCCCGCGCGGGCCGAAGGCAAGCGCGAGCGGAGCACTAGAGCGGATTTCGTATGAGTGGGAAACGGACGGTACTGTACTGTGACCGTAATCGTACTGTAACCAAATTCTAGTGCCCCATTGTTTCACCAAAATTGTGAAGGCCAGGTCCGGTAACTGTGCGGTAACCGTGCGGTAACGGTGTCCCACTCATACGAAATCCGCTCTATAGCTAAGAAAAAATGGTATACCATCGAGTCGATTTTCCATGGACCGACACAGGGTTCCCGCGCGTACGCACGTTTCCTTCCGCCTTCCTGGATTCCGTGTACCACCACAGGAAACCCATACTCCGCTCGAAAAGGAAACAAAGCGCCAAGTATTTGTTGAAAAATCGAATTTTTTTCCTTAAACATTTATATTACATATTGATAATATTAGAACAATTAATCACAAGGAAAAAAAAAGAGCGAAATAACAGCACAGAAATATTCCCGCCAATTGTCATAACTTCGACGCGTCCGCACATCCGGGAAATCGATTTGCGAAGAAGATGAAAAGCAATTTGGGCCCATCTTAAAAGTGATATTAGAAAAAAGGATTTTACTTTGATATTTCGACAACAAGAAAGAGATGATACTTTATTGGAAATACTTCAATAATATGGACCAATATGGGAAAAAGCAGGGATCTATGCGACGTTCTTTTGTAGACTAAAAGTGTGGACATTTCGAAACCAAGACCATGCTAGCAGTTAGATTGAGAGAGATTAAAAACAAAGAATCTACAGTCTTGAATGACTTTAATAAATTGATGAAACACTCGAACACTTGTTTATGGGCAGAAGTGCTCGAATTGGCGGTAGAAACGCATTGATTTGTGCATAAATCAATAATATTAAATTATATAACTCCTTCCATGTCCGTTGGATAATAATCAGTTGTTTTGTGCATAATTTTCAGTCTCTTTTGATTGTTTTAGCTAGTGTTTGCTGCCGTCTGTCCGCCGTCTGTCCGTCTTCATCTCGATCAAAGTTGAATGTTAATGCGAATTGACGTCATGCTATTGTGACATCACAGTTGTGACATCACAGGTGTTACCGACTTGTTTCCACTATTGTTTACATAGGGTGATAGATAACACAGTGGATACTCAACGTCCTCAAGGACGGGAGTAACCACAAAAATCATTTAACAGAAAAGAAAAAAAAGAAATGGGGTTGCGTTTGTGTTAACTTTTTAGGGAGGACACCAGAAAAAAGAGAAGCGTCATTATGTGAAACTCTGTCAAATGTTACATTTGTGGTCTGTGTTTTTATAGGTGTGGGACTCGAATAAAAGCAAACTAAATGGAGAATCTATCATCATTAGGAAGCCAAAACGATGCAATTCAGTTTTTCAATGAATACCTAAACATTGCACGACAAACTGGCAACAGGCAAGGCGAAGCTATTGCTTACCGCAAATTGGGAGATTTCTATGAAACATCCCGACAGTACGCTTTGGCAATTGAAAATTACAAGAAATGTCTTGAGATCGCCACTGAAATAGAGGACAGACAAGAAGAGGTAGATATTAATGAAAGCTTAGGAACACTTTACGAGCTTTTAGGAAATTACCACGAGTCACTCAATTGTCATGAGAAGAGCTTGGCTATGGCTATACAGATTTCCGACCGAGAGGGCGAAGGAATCGCTTTGATGAATCTGGGAATTGTAAACAGCTTTCTAGGAAACTATCTAAAAGCAATTGAATGTTACGAGAAGTGCATAGCCATTGTTACAGAGATCAAACGAAAAGACTGGGAAGGAAGGGCGTATGGCAATATTGGGAATGCTCATCAGTCTTTGAAAAATTACGATAAAGCAATTGAATATCACGAAAAAGCACTTGCTATCGCAAAAGAGATCGGTGACAGGCTTGGTGAGGGAAATGCCTACGGAAACCTAGGTAATGACTGTAAGCTGTTAGGGAAATACCACGACGCAATTGCACACTACCTTACAAGAATTACAATCGCTAAAGAGATAGGCGACCTGCAAGGCGAGTCAACCGGTTATGGAAGCACAGGCGATGCCTACAGATCATTAGGTAAATACAACGAAGCCATTGAGTTCTACCAAAAGTATCTCAACTTTTCTTTGATGTTACGTGATAGAAGAAGTGAAGGCAAGGCTTACTCAGCATTAGGAAATGTTTACCACTCTTTAGAGAAAATCAAAGAAGCAATTGAATATCTTGAATGGAGTCTTAGCATTGCTAGAGAGCTTGGTGACAGACAGAGAGAGGCAATTGTGTATAGTGAATTAGGAGTTGCATTTCAGGATTTAGGTGAATATGATAAGGCCAGTGAGAACCAGGAAATGGCACTAAACATAGCCGTTGAGCTAGGTGACAGACAGAAGCAAAGCAGTGCTTATGTAAACTTAGGAAATGTTAATCACCTGTTGGGTCAATATCAAAAGGCAGTTAAATATCATGAAAAAAGCCTTACTATTGCTAAAGAAATTGGAGACAGACACGGTGAAGGAAATGCTAATGGAAGCTTAGGAAATGCTTATCAAGCATTAGGGAATTACAAAGAGGCTATAGAATATTACAATAAATGTCTTCACGTTGGTGGCTCGGAGTTTAGCGATAGAAAAAGAGAAGGCGTCGTTTATGGAAATTTAGGAAATGCATATCARGCTTTAGGAAAGTACAGCGATGCCCTTCAGTATTTCGAAAAATCTTTGTGCGTAGGAACAGATATAGGAGACAGAAAAATTGAGGCTAATGCTTACGGCAACATAGGCAGTACCTATCAACTCTTAGGAAAGTATCACAAGGCAATTGAATATTGCCAGAAGTGTCTTGCAACCGCCAAGAAGATAGGCGACAAACGGGCGGAAGGAATTTGTTATGGCAACTTAGGAAATGCTTATCATTCACTGGGATGTCTCAATGAATCCCTTAAATTTCAGAATATGTGTCTTGCAATTGCTGAAAAGATTGGTGATAGACAGAATGAGAAAAATTCTCTAGAAAACATAGGAAATGCTTACCGGGCATTAGGGGAGTACACAGAAGCCAGTGAATACCATGAAAAGTCACTTAGAATATCAAAGGAAATAGGTGACAGAAGGGGAGAAGGAGATACATATGGTTCATTAGGATGTGATCATATAGCATCAGGAAAAAATGAAGAGGCGGTCCAATATTTGAAAAGATCTCTTAGCATCGCTGTAGAGATAGAAGACAGAAGAGGAGAAGGAGTTGCTCTTCGGAATTTAGGTTATGTGCACGAAAAATTAGGTAAATACAAAGAGTCAATTGAGTATAGCCAAAAAAGTCTTAGTATAGCAAAAGAGATTGGCGACATCAAAGGAGAAGGAATTGCTTATGGGTACCTCGGAAGAGTTTATAAAGCATTGCAGAAGTTTCAAGTGGCAGCTGACTATCATGAAAAACATCTCGGGATAGTTAAGGAAATAGGTGATAAGCAAGGGGAAGGAATCTCTTATGGAAATTTGGCAGCAACTTACAGATCACTAAAGAAATACAAGGAGTCAATTGAATTTTCCAAGAAAAGTCTTGTTATTGCTAAAGAATTAAGCTACAAAGCTGGAATAGGAATTGCACATGGAAATATTGGTGAGTTTGTTACAATTACATTATCAGTGAAATTTGTATTAACCCGTATTTCCTACATAGAACCAGGAGTCCATAAAGAGGAGCGTTCATCTGTATCATAATCCCATYGCAATCTGTTGCAAAAAATCTATTTTTAGCCAACCAAACACAACGCGCCCGCATATACTACCCACCTGATCGATTGAAAATACTTGCGAGTCCTCCCTCCATATAAGACAAGAAAAAAAACAATTGGAGACGGGGTCATGATACAGATGTATACGTCTAGTTATTGATGTCTCGTAAATATAGTATCAAAGATAAATCGTACGTCTCTTTTGCAAAATAAAAGTAAAATGCTGGTACCATTAACTCCTTAAAATCATATAATTTGAAGACTTTTGTCGCWTCTAGGTATGTGCCGGTATTTACAAAAATCCGACGAGGACGATATCAGAAAAGATCGCCTTTCCGAAGCGAAAGAACACTTGGAAAAGAGCATCCAATCTTTTGAAGAGCTGTTTGATAACTTGAAAGAGAACGACGAGTTCAAGATTTCTATTGTTGATACYTTCATCACAATTAACAAGATTCTGTGTCAGACCTACATAGAGATGGGGCAGATAGAAGACGCCGTTTTAATGTCTGAAAGAGGTCGCGCACGCGCACTGGGAGATTTGCTGCGCGTTAAGTACAGTATAAAGAGCGACAGCCACTCACGGAGCAATTTGCTAAGTCTCCATGATCTAAATATGGCCTCCTTCACTACTCTATTTTATGATGCTCCATATGTCAAGGACGCTGTCCAGATTTGGGTTTTGGGACATGGAAATCCACCACTATTTGTTGACAGTAAAGTCAAAAATACTGAATCTTCACAAGACCCTTCAGAGTTTGCTGAAATTGACACAGAAGACATGGAAATTGTATCTCTTCAAGATTGTCTGGAAAAAAGCTATGACMAAATGGACGTAAGAAAAGTATTGGGTTGTGAAGACAGGTCATTGAAAATTGTAGAAAGTAGTGTCGAGATCGAAGCCACGTCTACTCAATTGGAAAAACTAGATGTAGGAGCCAGTCGAGATGAGCTCAGTACGATGGGGCACAAGGATAGGTGCATATATGAAGATGAAGAAGATGATCCGTTGACAGTACTATTTGAAACATTGGTCGGTCCARTGAAGAGTAGACTTATCCAAGATGAGATTGTCATCATTCCTGATGGCTCTCTGTTCATGGTGCCATTCGCTGCTCTTCAAGATCTAGAGACAGGAAAGTTTTTATCGGAATTCAAACGCATTCGTTTGGCTCCATCATTAACAACATTGAAGGTTCTTCAAGAATCTTTGGATGATCACCATTACAAGGTAAGTCAAATTTTGATAACTTGGTGGTCGTTAAGATATCCCCGAAACAWTTTTTTACTAAACAGTATATTTTCATAAATCTGAACATCTGAACAGTTTTAAGACAAACACGAAAGAGCAGCTCACCTTTGCTGAGCAACATGCAATATTTCCCGTTGTCGAACTGCAAGTAATTTGCACTGTTTTCTTACCTTTGGCTCGCAAAATTATAGGGACAGTCCGGCGTCGTCGTGCTCGAGAATCCATGAATCCATGAATCCATAATAACAGTTTTAAGTACTATACTGATTATTCGGATGACTTCTCGTGTCTGTGCTCGATTAAATTTGAAGGAGAAATTTAGTGAAAAAGGCAGTTGATGTGGTGTATTAGATTTATGATTAATGATCTTGCATTTTATCTGACAGCAGTGTTGTGGTTATCGATATATTGATTCAAAATCATTTCTTTTTCAGTCAGGAGCATTTATGATTAATGATCTTGCATTTTATCTGATAAC